ATACATACATACATACATACATACATACATACATACACACATACATACATGCATACATACATACATACATGCATACATACATACATGCAAGAAAAGTTGGGTTTCAAGGAATCTCTTGTTTCATAATTGTTGAGTTTACTTCCATTTCAAGTGAAACTTATGGGGTGAGTTTTTTTGACTCGTAAGCGTCAATTTTGTTGTGCTGATGTTACCTCGATCTGGTGATTTCCGTCATGTGACGGACGAAAGCTTAGCACCTTTTCATCGGAATCGAAGAAGATTGCTTTGAAACAGCGTCAGCATGAATCGTCCAGTAAAGCCAATCGACAGCTGGTCAAGAGGACTCTGTTGCTGGTCGTCTTCTGGTGAAACCGACCTTCCAATCTCTTTACGCAACACTTTCACTCGAAATGGAAGTAAGCTCAGCAATACATACATACATTCATAAAGAAATATGTATGCACACGAAAACATAGCATTTGTGTATTTATGCATACGACTTTAGATTTACATTTTGCCCTTAATGGGGAAATATCTGTGACCAAGACAAAATAAGATAATTACATTTAGTGCATAAATCATTTTAATGCTGGCATACCTTTCATTTCGTTTGTAAATGTGGGCGGAAGGGATTTTTAAAAGGGTCGCACTGGATACCGAAAATGGGTTGTCTCGAAGCCGTGAATGATGGTTTGTGCGAGTAAACCCTCAGCTTGTATACGCCATGCAGCCGACATCTTCACAGCCAGAAACCATTATTCACAACCAATCACCGAAAAAGACTAAAACAACTCGACAGCAATTTGCTTCACTTCTTATACCCAACGTTGCAATCTCAACGAGGCATTTCATGAGTAGTTTGGCTACCTTGTGCTTGTCCTATGTGCATGTAAAGTAAAGCGGAGACCACATCCGCTCCTCTTTCTGCATTAATTTCATTCGTCCACATGCCCGTAGGACAAGCACAACGTGGCCAACCAAATCATGCAATGCCTCATTCAGATCGCAAAATTGGGCATCAGAAGTAAGTGGAATTTTAGCCGATCACCTTTTCCGGTTTGAATAATGGTTTCTGGCTCAAAATCTGTCCGAAGTATGAGGGACGAGAGCTCGGCACGGGTTCGTGGGTGTCTGGCGAAGCCAATTTCCGAGTCCCTTCTTTCAACCTCTTCATACGAAATGAAAGTTATTGTTAGTTTATAAATAAGGTTTTAAGTCTACCAGTAAATTTGTTTTATGAAATGTATTTACTCCATTTTGGTTAAGGCGATGAAGGACTGGTAGTTGACTTTTTCGCTGAATTTCCCAGAGCCTTGCTTTTCCTAAAGTTATTCTCACTCCGTCTGGAGTGGACGGCAGTTTGGGTCTCGCTTAGGTTTTATCAACTGCAATCCACTGGATCCTGGATGAGAACAACTTTTGGGAAAGCAAGGAAATGTGAAATTCAATGAAAACGTCAATTCAACTCATATCGTTGCGGGAAGATTCGTCTACCAGTCCTTCATCACTTTAAACGAAATAGAGTGAATAAATCTGCAATAAGTGTACGCCAATCCCATTCTACCAGGAGACTCTTTGAAACACAGCTTCTCTTCCTAAGTAGGTTTGAGTTTCCTAAAATGCGGGATGTGACAGAAGGCTTGGCGCGTAGAAAAAGTTGAAAAAATATGCCCTGTTTTGACAAGCGTTAGCAATTGGGGCTTTATAATCATCATCTCAGGAGGCAAAAAGAAAGAGACTATAAGAAAGTGAGCACAAACGAAATAATATTAAACATGACATAATAAGAAATGGGTTGACCTCGTTGTCGCAACTTGGTTCTGTTGTCAGGGCGACTATATAGAACGCAACTAGCACCTGCTAGAGAAGAAGGTGAGCAAATCCACACCAAACACGTATTATTATTATTATTATTATTATTAATTTTGTTATGATGATGATTTATACGGTTATTATTACTATTCTTCTTCTTACTATTATTATTATTACTATTATCAGTATTATTATTATTACGATATGAAGACCAAGATGTTTTGGCCTCTGGTATAGTCGCAGTCTCCTTTCGATTAATAGAAGTGGGTTGACCTCGTTGTCGCAACTTGGTTCTGTTGTCAGGGAGACTATGTAGAAAGCGCCTAGTCCGAAGTTGCCTGTCAAAGGAGTTT